ACTGCACATGAAGTGAAAATTTGTAGTAATAACAATAAATAATGTAACCAATAAAATAAAATTTATAAAAATAAATAAATTAAAACAGAATAGTAAAAATAAATAAAAATAATTAAAATATCTACAAAAATATATAAATAATAAAAAAACACTTTACACTACAAAAAATATTAGCAAAATACATGCATACATGTATCCACAATGGCACACCGACTTGATAGTTTTGTTTCAGGTCTCGAAGAAGAAACCAGGCATTGCAAAAACACAGAAAGGGAGAGCCTTGCTTTGAGGATGCAGGACCAAGGACCTCCAATCATACTAAATTACTTTTCCTCCAAACAGGTTTGCATCTTCAGTGCTTAGGAAAAATAACCCCCCCCCCCCCCCTTCCTTTTTCCTTCAGTATACATTTGCAAAATATCAGACTGTGAATAATATTGCACAAACTCTTTTAATTTCCAATTAATCTGATGAAAATAATTCAACTTTAGAATGTTTTATTTTGAACTTTAACTTAAAGCTGCCCACAAATTTCCTCCCGATGATAAATTTAAGTACCTTCAGCGCCGAAGGAAAAATGAAACGTATGCCATAAGCAAAAAATATATATTTATATATATTTTACTACATTTATTAATCTATAAACTCTTTGACTAAGCGCCCTCAGCATATATATATATATATATATATATATATATATATATATATATATATATATATATATATATGTGTGTGTGTGTGTGTGTGTGTGTGTGTGTGTGGATAAAATCACACAAACACACACACGCACACTCTCTCTCTCTCTCTCTCTCTCTCTCTCTCTCTCTCTCTCTCTCTCTCTCTCTCTCTCTCTCTCTCTCTCTCTCTCTCTCTCTCTCTCTCTCTCTACACGACCACACAATGAAACGTACCTCGTGGGCTGCCCTGGAGACTAGTGACTCACCTACACAATAGACGCGAAATTAATTAGCACACACTTGCACACAACAGACCAACATCACAACACTGTGACGTTCACTCCAGCCGGGAGGCTGGAGTGAACACAACACGTAACTTTACTTAAAATAGGCAACGAAACGAAACAGCCTTAACACGGGTCCGGCTCCGTTGCCCAAGGAAAAGACACCCACATGGCGCCCCGCCGCCTTGCCCTATGATTAGGATACGTGTCGGGGGTGCATTGGTTTTGCAAACACCCCGTGAGCTATGGGAGTCTAGGCTCTCGGTCTCACGACACGCAGGCTATCCCGGTGGCGCGTGAAGGTTCTGCGTTCAGCGGTTTAATATAAAGGTTGCCTAACATGTATTGTGCTTAGTTTTGCTTTTCATCATTTCCGTTCAAAAGTGATCCTCTCGATAGCGTGCCGAGTTATTTTTCTGCCTGCGCGTGTAAACAAATCACGTTATCCATAAAAAAATATAAAAAAGAAATGTTCTTTACAATCTCTTTTTACACTCGTCCGTAATATTTTCCTAAGCGGCGAAAAAAGCAATGTCGTTATTTTTCACCACATTAACGTCACTTTGTTCGTTTTAACCATGTTTTTATGTATTTGCAATACTTATGTGTAATTTGAAATACTTTTATTTATTTTTTTTTCAATTTGCATATCATATCGCGCATACATTACGCCGTGGTGACAAAACCCTCAGTCTAGAAAACGCCACTAAAGGGACACCGCACCACAATCGTGCTTACGCAATGTAATATTATTTCTCGTGTGAACTATTTCTTACTAGGCATTTCCAATACACCTATTTTCTCCCTGTTTTGTTTACATTATGAAATATTAAAATTTATAGATAGAATATAAGCGAAAGTTCAATTTAACCAAAAATAAGGGACATTCGTGTTTAACGAGCATACAAAGTTTCTGGTAGAGGGCGTGTTTAGGAAACAACTAAACGCGTCATAAATGGAATGATTTTTCAAAAAGTTCGTTTTAAAAAGTTTGAAGAAAACCGCGAATAGACTATTGCACCCGTCTTCCTTCATTAAGTAAGAGCGCCTTGGAAGACATTTCGGCTTCATGACGGCCGGCCAGCGATTCGCGTCAACATGACTACAGCGCGCGTTGTATAGGTCGCGTGCAGTTTGCGCGAGGCTGGCCTGAAGCGGAATGACGTAGGAGAGACACTCAGGCGCCTACAACGAGAGATCCGAACTTCTTGGCGTATGTAGTGCGTTGTAGAGTCAAAGCCCCTGTCACGTTGTCAAATTTTTCCGTCAAACTGCTTCCAATGTGTTTGGTCAAATAAAGTTGGACAGCCATGACGTCATCGAAACGTCATAAACGCCTCCAATTTTATCCGAGAAAGTTGTATGGCTTCCGTTTCCTTTAAACATTTTAAAATTGGACCGCTGCTAAAATTTATTTGGTGTTTGGCGGTCTCAGCCGATCAGAATCGTGCACGACAAAAATGGACGTCAAGAAACTTAAAATAACGAAAAATTGCTGGAAACGAAGTACGTTATGAAGATAATTAATTTATGTAGAAGCTATCTGGGAATGAAAAGTGAATATCGTACATAATATTACGAGAGGCATTTTTTTCATTGTGTAGGAAACATCTCTGATAAATAAAATTTGAATTTAGTAAAGAAGCAAAAATAAATTACAGCATTCCTTAGAACCTTTTCCTGTGATGGACCGCATGGAAAAACGAAAGCAATATCTCACTATGAAAATTATTTTTTAATAATATTTGGAATTAGATTCTCCAAATAAAAAAATTTGACAGTGTGAGACGTTTTCAAACACATTCAAGAATATTTGATAAAATTTGTTGAAAGGAAAAATTTAATGGCTTTATTTTGTTTTTAAATGTCATTGACAAATATAGCTGAAGGCAAAAATTCTATAGTGTGACAGGGGCTTTACGGAATCCGGTCACAGCGTAGGTTCTGGTAATATACTTATATTAAGGTATGTACATATAGAGAGGATTCAGCAGCAGTATTAAACCTTGTTTATATAGTCTATTCGAGGTTTCTTCACACTTTATGAATTAAACCTTTGAAAAATCACCCCATGTATGAAGAGTCGGGGTTTTTTTTTCCCTACATACGTCGTCTATCACGAGCGTTCTATACTTTTGTTAGCCTAAAACTACCGTATTTTTGGTTAAATTCAGATTTTATTCATATTTCGCCCATAAATTATAATATTTAATTTACAATTAATTTTAATAAAACCAGGGAGAAAATAGGTGTGTTGGTAATGCCTAGTAAAAAATCGTTCTCGTGCAAAATATTATTACACAGTGGGCGCTGTCTCTTCGGTGTAGCATTTTTCATTCGGTCAAGCTTTGTTTTCACGAAGTGGCGGAATATCCCAGAACTAGGACTCTACCAAGGCTTCAGATATGTTTGAAGTAACCATGAATGGATTTATATATCTTATGAAGTTTGCAGCGTTGTTATTACTTTTTCGTTCGTGATTTTAAACAACCGACTTTTATTGATTTGTTTATATATAATCAAATGCTTTCTTCTAAGATCATGCAGATTGTAACAACAGGCGATAAATATTTATGATGCCAGAGAATCTGTACAAAATGCATAATTTATGAAGCTTAAGATATCAGGATACAGTAGATAAAAATGCAAGATGGCGGGTGAAAGGCAATTTGAAACACCGACTTCTTTGTCGGCATGAAATAAACGTAACTGGTGTATTATACTGCTGTTCAAACACGTTTTCTCAGAGTCGAAGTGATCTAAAATTGATCGTTCAGGATTTCCAAAATAAAGTTAATTGTGGAGGTAACCGGCCGCATTTTACCGCAAAAGTTTAATAAAAGTGGCGACTTCTGAGATTTCCGCGTATCAATAGTATGAGAACAAATTTCCTATTAATAACTAATTTTGAAGAAGAAGCTGGGTGATGATTGAAGTAATATAATTTGCATTATATTATTGTTCTACATTAGGAATTGTTCTATCAATCCGGTATGGTCTAAGGTTAAATTATGTGATTGCTATCCATGAGGCAAGGGTTCGAATTCCAGTAGCGGAATAACAATTACCTCTCATTTTATAGGTGGTGGTAATTTCGTTTCACTATGGTGGCAGTTGGTAAGAAAACGTAATAAAGCGGTACCCATACTTAGAGTAAACAAAAATTGAATATAAATTAATTCTATGAACACAAAAATCTTTACCATTTGGTTTAGAAGGAACTCTCCCCATAATTCGACGTAATTTTAACTGCCAGCTACTAAATTTTCAACTGCATCAGAACCTTGTGTTTGTGTAGTAAATAAAAAAAAAAAAGAAGTTGGTTTGACTGTGTTGGCGACACCTCCGTTTATTTTGCGTGAATACGTCTACGTTGACGCGCTCGGGCGCCTTGATGAATTTTTTTTTTACGTTCCCGACACCGCTTCACTCGATCATATGGGGGTTTAATGGGTATCACTGGATTGATTTTGAGATGCTCTTTCTAACCGTATACGATTTCTGAATTTCGACTTGGCTTTTCGACGAGTATAGAGCGAAATTGTGTTACATTTTCTTAATTGTTTACGTTAAATTCATACAATTTCGTCATAGCCACGCCACACAAATGTTTTTACACGCACAATCGATTTATCTTGGAGAGAGCTGTCGATTGAAACTTAAACGAGCGTCGTAGCTTCTCCTAGTCGAAAGTTATACTACGCGGAAATTATGAGACGCGGCGAAACGAACTCAAAAGCCCCCCCCCCCCCCCCCGCGGTGCGCTATGATTCGCAGTCCTGACTCAACGTAACATATTCTTTTTTGATTCTTCGCTTTGGCAATCGAGTGGTGTAATTGAATTTTGAATGTAGATTATAGATTCGGAGCTGCAATACCAAACTGTATCCCCCGATTTTGTTATCGTAGGATTTTCTGGATTGCCTCCCACTATGGTCGCAAATTTAAATACGTATTCATGTAAAAAAAAAAATTAAAAAAAAAAGGCCATTTGGTAAATTTTATTATATAATTTAAGCAGGAAAAAAAAGCTTCTTTCCGGTACCAGGAATTGAACTGGAGCCTCCTGGGTGAAATCCAGGTATCCTAGCCACTAGACCGTATCTTTTTTAAAGTTTACATTATTGACATATGGACCGATACATGTGCTGTTGGACATAGCGCGTGTGACGTTTGACAGTATGTGTGTTTGTGATGTTTGACGAGCTCACGTTAGAGCGACTTGATGGCAAACCCACAGTACACATGTGAGCGAGATGCGAACTGAAAATCTGTCGCGGAGGGGCTGGGGCTCGAACCCCCGACCCTCCGACGACAAGTCGCCCTTTCTGCCCCTGAGCTATGGGGCAGAGCTCCATGCTATAGACTGTTCACGATAAGATGAGCACTTTTGGAAGCCCTGCTTAAGATCTATTTGTATGCACGTTATGTATTCCTCAAATATTATGTAAAATTAACATCTCCATGGGCCTCATCACTTTATTCATGCGTCGGCCAAGTGAACTGTGAAATTATTAGAAAAGTAAATATCTTACAAATCCGCTCATTTTTACACTTTGATCCATAAAAAGAACGGAAAGCGAAATAAATAATTTAAATTATCACAAATGATTACCGAACACTTTTTATTCGGCGTTAAGATATGGAACTACTTTCCATTCATCGTTATCAATTTTACTGGGCGCATGTAACTCAGTGAGTCCATTAAAACGTGTGCCAGGCAGGAGCAGTGACATTTTTCTAAGGTTGATTTAAAAAATGATAACTTCATCGTGAACAGCCTTTAGTAAGAATTGGCATATCGTTAACTTACTGTATTTAGACTATATGATTAATTTCACATATTTTGCATCTACACTTGATTGGCGCATGAATAACGTGATAGGGTCAGTGGCGGAATAGTCTGCGGTGCACAGTTTCAGTAAATGTGGTAAAGTGAAATGAAGAGATATGAGCAGCTCTGAGAGTGGGGAGGACTGGAGCATTTTCTGTGAAATGGTTGTTTGCGCGAAATGAGCGGATCTCGGTAAATCAATGTTTTACAAATACGACTTTTTGTCACATTAAGTGCATTCTCGGAGAGAAAAAAAAATCGTGAAAATGGTCGAAATCACCTTTTTAAAGCTTGCCTATGCAGTATCCTTAAGCGGCAAGTGAAAAGTACAAAGATACGGGCGTAGTTTGATCTGTGGTATTTCATCGCGTGTAATAAAACCCCACTGTTACAGATCGAATTTACACAGTGCAACGTCACGACGGAAACACTGCACGCCTTGCGCGTAGGAGCGATGAGGCACTAGGGGTGCGTGTTATTGTCGCCCGTATCGCTCCAGCACTTCTTGACCTCCGACGCGAAGTTCCCACGGTGGTCCATCCCACTCTTAACATCGGGGAGTTGAGAGCCGACGAGGGTAAAGTGAAGTGAGTATGGAGCATCGCCGGAATGAAAAAAAAAAGGGGGGGGTAACGGGAGATTCTCGAGAAGACCCGTCGACCAGCGGCATCGTTCGGCACGATTCCAACTTGCGATAATCCGAGAGTGGCCCGGCCGGGGATTGAACCCGGTTCGCCTTGGTGGGAGGCAAGCATGCTAACCGCTCAACCATCATCCCACCTCCCCCCAGCAAATGTGATGAACCAAAATAGTGTGAACCTCCTCGGTCGTCCTAGCTAGACTGGACATGCATTAGTTTATCGTACCGACATGTCCATCCGGTAGTAGTGCGATTTAAAGCCAAATATTTTCCACATACAATGCAACTTTATATTCAACATTTTAATTTTTCCGTAATTCCTCGTTCGTATCTCCATACCTTCAATTTTACCGAGGGAAGTTTTCCAACCTCCTGTATACAAACCTTAAAACCTCATCTCTACTGTACCAGGAAAAGTCCGTGCCAGAGTAATTTTTTAACTAGTTGTCAAATTAATTACTTAGCATTGTATTTTTTTGTGCTTACAGAAAATAATTAACGCCATAACTCATCGTGGCCTCTTGTTCTCTTCCAGAAGAAAGTTGCCTACTTCTCTGGTAATGGGTTCAACTTCGAGATGTGTGAAGTCTTTATAGACGTTATTTTTCGGATTTTCGGCCGCGACCCACGAACGGGAAGGAAACAAAGAAAATGAAATATGAAGGTGACCCAGAAACCATAAATGCGTCGCTTTAGAATTCAGGACACAAACTTTTACGGAAGACTAAGGCAAGCCATGGATGTAGTTAACTGATTTTCCACAAAATATTCGGGATTTTGGATTTTTTTAAATGTTAGTTTTGGACTCCGCGGGGTTGTCTCTTGTTACTAACTGCCGTGGCTGTGACAAGCTATTTTTTCCTGTCTGATCTGCCCACTTAGGACTCACTTTATGACAACAGGAAGTCCGTGATCGGCGTATCTTGAAAGAAGAAGTTTACCCGACCACGAATGTTTAACAAAATTGCATTTTGAAGCTCATCGCATCGCGAAATCTTTCCGCCAAGTTATGGTGGGATGAAAGTTCACTAGAGTCTATTTGAACTGCCATTGAAATTGCCAAGGCGTACGGAAATGTGAATTAATAATTTCAACTTTGACTATTTTTAGTAAAAAAAAAATATTCGTGGCTAATACTAACACAGCCCGTCTGTTATTAGACAATTTCTAATTAGGAAGATAATTGCTAAGTTTTCTGTGTCACACTCTGTAACCGAATTGTTTTGGAATTAGAAAAGAACAATTATTTTATTGCCTGTGTTGATTAACTACAGTATTAAAATGCATGACAACATGTTACTGGGTTCCTCGTGTAAGGCGTGTTACTTTTTTTTTTAACTGAATTAGTCTTATATTTGATGGTTTTTGTGTGTGTTTTTTTTCTCAGCAGGCCAAAAGTGTTTGCTGTATTTCCACCTGCGATAACCAGAATCAGTAGTAACATTTGGATATAAATTGTATCACCACACGTTGCTCAAAACATTTTCCATCTTCTATTTCGATCAAGTTCTCCTATCAGTGCATTTTTCTATTATCATTGTAGAAAACAATCGGTCGCTTTACGAGGCACATCTGATTGTCGCGATACGATTCACGCGCGTGTTGAACCTACTTCGCTATTCCGCGTGCAAGCCTGTGGTTTTCGTCTGGTTACTGGCTGCATGTGTTGTTGCGAGAAGGCTTCTTTTATTTGATCAGCCCAGTCAGCATAAGGTTGACCCGATAGCGAAAGTTTGTGGTTCACGCGTGGAACATCTAAAACAGTAACAATTCGTGCCATACAGTCACGACGTGGGAGCTGAGATTGGGCGTTTCTGGAATACAAATGATCAGCTGTCCCTAAGCACCTCGAATGTTCACTGAGCACAAGTTTAGTCCATTCTCGATTAAACGGAATCTTCGCATGATTTCCGCAAGTTGTTTGATAAAAAAAATTAATATAAAAAATATATTTATTGATATAAAATTTTCTTCATCAGGCACTCCCAGGATTGTTTCGTCAATAATGACCAAACCTGATTCGGTATTGAAGTGTAAACACAACCATAAATAATAAAATTAAATATTTATGATTATTTGAAACTATTATAATTGACACGGAATGTGAGGCTGGTTATAATATGATTCGCCTAAACTTTATTCCACGGTATCGATAATGCAAATAAAGATCATTCGCAGTTATCTGAAGATACGCACTTTTTTTTTGTTAAGTCCTTACGGCAACATATTAATTATGATAGGAATACTCACTTGTGAAACAGAGTATACCTAAACTTCCTCCTAAAAGCAAGATATTTAAGTGCCTCATTGGGATTCGGACCGACGAATTTTCTAGCCGTTAGCCTCTAGTTCCAAAGAACCACGACATTGCAATGTAATGCAAAACCGCATTCAAATTACATTTATAAACTACCCCGGTGGGATAGTCAGATATGAAAGAAGAGATGTTGCATACATTCCCGCAATGAAATAACACGGATCCGTCTTATTTCCCTGTGTCAGTATAGCCAGAATATTAATACAGTTTATGCACACCAGCTTACTGAAGAAAGTACACGTAACTTGCTTGCCGTACATGTGTCACACAAGGCGAAGTGCCCTGCCATATGTATCTGCTGCTCGTGCTGTAGGCCTATTCCAACATAAAATATGAGCAGACAGGATATTACCATGTAGCACTGAATTAAAAAAAATAATAGGTGACCACATGTGGGACAAATTAACCTTAGGAAAAAGTCACTGCCACTACCTGCATATAATTTTAACGGGCGCACCGAGGGTAATCCGCCCGGTAGTCGGTAACGATGTTTGGAAAGTAGTTCCTTGTCTTAACGTCGAATTAAAAGTGATAGGTAATCATTTCTGACAACTTAAATTATTATTTTCTCGCTTCATTTTTTTTTATTCATCGAAGTGTAAAAATGAGCAGATTTGTAAAATATTTACTTTTCTAATCACTGCACAGTTTCAATTAACCGACGCTTGAATAAAGTGATGATGCCCGTGCCAATGTTAATTTTAAATAAGACGGAATACTTAAGAACACAGAACGTTCACACAAGTATATCTTAAGCAGGACTTTTAAAAGTGCTCATTCCACCGGGGACAACCTACACTCAGCGGCTTATCCGAGGGGGGGGGGGGGGTTGAAGGGGCTGCATTCCCCCCCCCCTCCGAATTGACACACATTTTTTAAACCCTATTATCAAAATGTGAATCAATTATATTTATACATTTGTTACTACCCACATGATTTGTTTTGTTTTATTTTATTGCATCCACAAGATCTTTTTTCAATACATAGCTGTCCAAAGATACTGGACAAAGAAAAATTACAGTATACAAAGTTTATACACTGGACATAGTAAACACACACACACGCATATATATATATGTCAGACTACACGTAAGCGCGCATCACATCTTTTCCTCATAATTTGACCAATCCTCCTCCGACATGCTGAGGGGTGTCGTCGTTTTTCTGAAACAGAAGAAAAAGGAAACGAGAAATACCGTAACAAGAAAAGCGTACAAAGACATGTTGTGCAATAATTTCTTAATTTTTGTAGTTTAGATATTCATCTACACTATCAAATGTTAGTTTAGAAAAAATTCCTTCAACTCTTTTTTA